CTCAAAAGAGGCTCACAGGCTTCATTAAACGTATACCTGAGACTGAAGCCAAGGTCACTGGAGACTGTAGTTAAGTTCTGTAGAGAATACATATTCTGTGTGTTTGAAGGCAGCTTTAAGCTAGAACAGATTCATCTCCATTGTTGTATGTACTTTTTTAAACAACAGAACCCATTTCAGTTGTATCAAATGTTTTGTTAATCACATAGCATCATATATGCTGATATAATTGTTATTTAAGGCAAGTATTAAACTGGGCAAATTCGTATTTTCTCCAGTACATTAGATCTAGTCCTTGATTGCCATGCAGATATACATTAATACATAGTGCTGTAAGAAAAGAGTAACAGTTATAGACAAATATCTAAGCCACTTAAGAAACCAGACTTAGTTGCTAGAACACGTACTCAACATATACCTCGAGTTCCACATATTGGATACTCAGGCACTGTTCAAGCCCTCTTTCACTTGGTTACATACACTTCTAATCTGACTTGCGCTGCTGAAGACCTATCCCTATTCTCTCATCTGAAAACAATCATGCCTTGAACCCTGTGATTGCAACACAACACAACACTGGGACAAAAAACTAGTGAAACACAGCAGAACAGCAAAAGCAGCAGCCTCTCCTACAATGAAGTCATTCTCCTTCCCCCCAAGTCACTTTAAATGGTACTCAAGTTTATGCTTATTAAAGGCCAACTCTCAAATCAGACCTCCATAGAATAAGCAATATCACAACAGGACCTCCATTCGTTACAGAAAACATTCAAGATCACTTTTCCCCTGTGTCAAGCTTAATTCATCTTTAAAAAAAATAAATCACAATAGAGGAATCTGAAGAAGTTACTGCAACTCCAGCTTTAAAAGTGAAGTCTACTCCTGTAGACTGATAGTCTACTCCTATAACCTAGGATCAGCAACATATTGGGACTTTGGTCCTTACAGGGTTCTGAAAAACTGTTCCTGCAGGGACTTTGCCTTCAACCACTGGTAAGCAGAACATGACACTGGCCATCAAACATGAACCCTGAAGGGCCCACTGAATCCCATCACTTAGCTGGAAAAAAAATGTTCCTGCTCACACAAGCACTGTGTGCTAATGCCACCCCTTACTAAGGCAACTAGCAAATGCAGGCTTTAAGGATCTGTAATTAGGAACTCTTGGCTTCCCAAGGAAGAAGCAGGAAGAGGTGCTTTGCAAAGCCAACAGTCACTGCAGAGCAAGTAAACAGCTAACAGTCTGGATACAGTTCAGGATAGACTTACGCATTTTTAGCTCTTTTGCTACAGATGTCTCAGCAGGTTTAAGCTGCTACTCTGTAGCAGTAGGCCCATACTTCCCCTTTCACCAGGACCACTCAGTTCCAAAAAGTCACCTTACTCAAATCTTGCAGGTTACACAAAGAACAGCCAGAATACCCTCAAAAACTGAAAACATCTGAACTGCCCTACCCTGAGAAGTTATTTTGACTTTTCCACTGCAAAGACCAGAATGTTTTTGTAGGAATCTTTGGTTTGCTGAATCTAGCAATTATTGACAAATATAGTAGTTCCCAGCATATATTTAAAGTTGAGGGGAAGCACTGAAAAAGGCTTTGGAGACTACCAACAATACAGCATCAAGTCCTGGAAACATGACTCTGCATAAGGCACAACTTCTAAGTGGAGAAAAAAAGAAAACCTAGCTGAAGTAATTCTGTTCCTAGTGAGACTACTGTATTTTAATTGGTAAAGTCAAGTACTTGTTTTCATGGATTAAAGCAATTCAGGAACTAATCAAGTTTACACAAGAACAGTGTCAGCAGGATATTATATCGTATAGAAGCTATATGTAATTGTCATGGTTTAACCTCAGCTGGCAACTAAACCTCACCCAGCTGCTCGCTCGCTCACTCCCCACACCGGGGGATGGGGGAGAGAATCAGAGTTAAAGGGAGAAAACTCGTGGGCTGAGATAAAGACAGTTTAATAGGTAAAGCAAAAGCTGTGCACACAAGCAAAGCACAACACAGCATTCATTCCCTACTTCCCATGGGCAGGCAGGTGTTCAGCCATGTCGAGGAAAGCACGGCTCCATCACACCTAACAGTGACTTGGGAAGGCAAACGCCATCACTCTGAACATTCCCCCATTCCCCCCTTCCCCCTTCTTCCCCCAGCTTTATGTGCTGAGCATGACGTCATATGGTGTGGAATATCCCTTGGGTCAGCTGGGGTCAGCTGTCCCAGCAGCTTCTTGTGCCCCCCAGCCTGCTTGCTGGGGT